AATTCATATGATGTAGAATTAGATATAAGTAAATGAAGTATTTGCAAATACACTTAATCTGAAAATCTTAAAAATTCGCTATATAGTGTATATCGTTTTGAAATAACAAATTATTATAAGTTCACCAATTATTACAACACGGTTTTTGTATAATTTATGCAGAATCTTGATTTTTTTTCTCAAAACTCTATAGTAATCATTCGCTATAGTAAAAATTTATTCAAGTAAATTATAAAAAACTATTGTTTATTATATGTCATTAGTTAAAAGGTCGCAACTATTTTCTACATTACTTTTAAATAAATATAATGTAGGCATATAATCTTAAATTTAACCAGTCAATTAATAAATTGCTTTCCTGTTAAATTATTTAGGCTTATCTATTTTAAAAGGACTACTTAATTTTTTTAGTCTAGTTTATCTACAAAACTAAATGACTAAAAATATTAATCTATATTATTAAATGAAAAATATTAATGAACTTAATAGCTTATTCGAAGCAACTAACGCTTATATAAAATTCATAGTTTGTGTATAATTTTTAGCACCCTAATATTAATTCGTCAAACCGCAGAATTTAAAAAAATTACTCTCATCTAAAACACTACCAAATTCTGTTGAATCCAAATTCTCGGTCATGGAAATAAAAGATGGAAGATTCATTGTGGCTTCTAAGTAAATTTATGAGATAACTTTAATATATTATGATTAATATCAGATTCAGATTATATAATATTTAATGATAACAGTACCTGCTGTAAAAATTGGTGGATAACTAGGTGGTGGGATAATGACATCTTTGTTGCCAGCCTTTAATCGATTTATTACAGGATTAATAATAAAATAATGTGAATGACTGACAACTCATAATACGAGTAAGAATTAACAAACCATATGCTTGCTTTGTTTCCAACAAAACGCGATCGGTTCGTTATAATCATTGATTTTATGTAATTTTTTAAAGGTGATGATCTATAAATTATATTCAATTCGTTTATTAG